AATAATTTCATTAATTAAGATATTTTTTTTTATGATCTGTCCTATGTCTTATTTTACTATTTACTTTTATTATTGTGAATCTGCTAAGGACTGTGTACTCCTTGCTTAATTAATTTGGGGGGTGGATATCCTGGGGGTTTTAGTTTTTTTAAAGGGGGCACTTACAGATTTTGATAAGTCCTCTCTCACAGACCCCCACATTCCACTGAGGACAGGGATGTGGGAATTTGCTACCCTTGTCCCCAATCAACATGGGTACCATAGTTCCTTGCAGGGAAAAGGCTTTGCACCTCCATCCCCCCAGGTTACCAATCCAAATTTTAAGGTCATGTGGCCCTCATCACGATTAAAAACTCTGCCGTTAATCCAATGTGGCCAGGTACTATGGTTTGGTTCAGGAAGGGAGGTTTGCATGTTTTTTATTCCTGCTTTTCCTGGCCAATTTCAAGGCTGCATGCCTGGTATGAAGAAGTCTGGTGGTGAATTTTTAGGGGGGGCCGCAGCATTGGATTAGGGTCAGGGGTTTTGATCATGAGGAGGCCCCACTACCACTTTCAACAAAGAGAAAAATCCAGCAGAGAGCTGTCATTTAGAAGCAGTATTTTTTTTAAATGTCACATTTTGACAGAAGTACATCATACTGGTTGCCACCAGCTACATGTCGCAGAGTTTAAGGCATACCCCAAGTTTGTTATTGAAACGGCATGAATGATATTTTGTGATTTTTGCCCTTTAATGTCACATAATAAACACCCATTTCCTGCTTTAAGGAGTAGTATATATATATTTTTAATCTGGTACAATGCTACTTTATAATGCACTTTTTCATCAAAAGCTTTTAAATTGGGTCTTGAAAAAGACCAGAAAAAAGTACGGTATACGGTGTCTTCATAACAGCAGGCAGGTGGAATGATTGGACATGGATAAACAGATGGACCAAGGAGCAGAAATATATATAATCCTTCCCATTTAAACTTTTTTCACTTACATAACTCCTATGTTCATAAAAAAAAAGGTTTGTGGATTTTAATGTCCACATGAAGTACATATGCATTCATGGGTGGCGTAGCTCTTCTGAGCTGAGAGTGCGCACTTACTGCACACTATTCCGGCATTGTGACTGAGCTTTCAGACCAGTTTTCGGTCTTGTACTAATGATAGAAGTCAGCAAGACTAGTTAACAATCATGTGATCAAAATGACAGCCAAGTAACAGTGGTAAAATGACTGGTTGATTCCTTCTTGCCCCCTGGGAGTATAGACCCTGTTAAAGGGACATGGGTGGGAATGAGTTAAGCATGTTCCAGAATTTAGTATATTAATATGACAAAAATAAAATAGTTTCATCATTTGCATAAATAGACAAAGTTTCATTCTATTTAAAAAAAACACATATTTTAAGTTTTGCTTACTTGCATCTCTAACTTTTTTTTTTCCCATATAATTATTTTTGACATTGAAAGTTTAGCACAACGAACAAGCATTTGTTATACTCATATACATATGTCTAGGTGTGCAATACCCACTTGTTTCTCAGGAAGAAGGACACAATGCATGTTCTAAATTTGATAGGAAGGGCTTTTGCATGGGCTATGACATTGCATACTAAGTCATAGTATAGTTGTTATTATTTATACATGAGCCAAAAGATTACAAATGCAGGAGCTAGCTCAGATCTCTCACCCCCTGGATCTGTGAAACCTGTCACTCAGTATCTCCTGCGGTGTGTCTTCCTGTCTCTGAGCCATTGGGACCACCTGCTGCCATGACTCTCATCTATTGCATAGCCCGAAGGCCTCGATTGATAACAGCATTGATTCCAATGTAACATCTAATTACTTCTCATAATCTATTCATTTCACAATAGTGTAGTGTAACATCTGTCACATCATAAACTCTTTAGTATCCATATCAAACCAGTAAAACACACTACCCTGCCAATTGGAAAGCACCTCAGCATAGCTTTTATTCCGTGTAATACAGACATGTCTGTTTTGGGGGGAATCGTAACTGAATTTCCCAGGTGACCCATAAAAACTGAGCCATGAAAACGGTTTTTTAAGATTTAATATGTGTGAACCAAATTACAATAATGCACAGACTAGCTGAATGAAATATATTGGTTAAGAAATAAACTCAGAACCAGCATGGTAGCAGTTATATCAGGTTAACAGACATCTCTACCCTCAGCTCAGTATGCTTGATTAATTTACAAAAATCAATTATTTCACTGGTTATTGCATTACAACAAAATGTCGCACAGAACACTTTGTCACTTTGCAGTTTTTATTTTTCCAGAGGGTAATAGTGCTGTTTACGGCTTCTTTACAAGAAAAAAAATCGCATTTCACTGATGCAGTGTACAAAAACCCAGTTTCTTGGTCGGAGTAGATTTTGTATCTGACCCAAAAGGATTGTGAATTTTTTTGCTGCATGAAATAAAAACAATGATTAAGCATCATATAGCAAGCATTAAACAATACCACAATAAACGCTTTTAACCGGGCTGTTGTGACAGCTGTTTAAGAAATATTAAACAATTTGTTTTTTAGCTTAAACTTTTTTTTTGGAAAAACATCGTAAAGCTGTGTTTTTCTAAACGGCCCAATGTGCCTTTTAACAAAAGTTTTATGCTTTTGCTGTTCATTGACAATTGTTTGTCTATTAGTCCATTGTAGTCTTAGATGTTAGAGATATTATACAGAATATTAAAGAAACCTGCTTTAAAACTTGCTGCGTTAAAGGTACTGGTGGCCTGGACAGGGTTTCCTTGTGATATCATATGTATGAATATTCTCAATTAGCAATTAATACTTGTTCAATTTATAATGAGCGCAAGCTGCACTGCATGCATAATATAGCCCTTAGTAATGTGATTACTGCCTCTGTGACCAGTAGGTTTTAAATACTGTTTCTTTGTGTAAAAAAAAAAAGAAAAAAAAACAATAGTGGAGTGTTTGTTTGTTTTTTAGTTGTTGGTCTCTTGCCATTATCTCTCCATAAGTTGCTTATGTCATTTTCTCTCTGATTTTTGTAGGTCCATGAAACAGCAGTGTCAGCTTTATCTGATGTTTTTATTTTATCAGGCAATACTAATGCAAAATACCCAACAGATTAAATAATAAGCTAAAAAGAGTATTAAAAAAAATCGTTAACGGGCGGTGGTTGAGGGCTCGTTAACACACAAGGTACGTTTAATTATATGCCTACAGGAACGAAATAAGAAATTAAAAATATATCTTTTCATGTTAACCTTACTTATCCAGCAGATATCCATTTAAATGTATTTGTTTTTGTTTAATGATCTTTTAGGTAGGAGGAAAAGAAACAAAAAAAAAATTTAAAACCAAGGGGAGAAACTAGACGCTAAAAGAAACATTTTTTGGTACTATTTTGGAAGTGTAATTAAAATGCTTAGTTTCAGGGAAATAAAAAAATGTAATTTCCCTTGAACCTGATTTTGATATTTAAAGTGAAATACAAAAGGGGTAAAAATGATCAATAAGTTAACATGTTAGTATTGAAAGCCATCACGAACAATATTGTGTGTCCCTAGAAAGGCATGTTTTTGTCAACAAATCGTTGTAATTCCAATTGTTATTGAACCACAGCATCACTTTGGTGTTAGCCCAATTTCTTTAAGGTACCCAAGGTACTTATACCTATCTATACTGTTTTATTTATTGCTGTGAGAAGTAGAAAATATTACAGTAGAAATGTAATATTTTACTTTTATTATTCCAATTCTTTTGGTGCAACCCTATAATGATCTCTATTATTGGTAGGGCTGGACTTGTTTCACTGAAGGTTTTAAGGCTTCCAACTTTTGTCTCCCTTATTTGCATTGCATTAGGCTGTACTTCAACATTATGCACCACAAATATCCTATTTCAGCAACCCTTAACTCTGTGAATATGCCAGACTCCATCCACATATACAATGGAGAACTTGTAAAATATATATCTTTTCGTACCATGACCCATTTTTTTGATTCACCCATTCCCAAACAAGTAAGCAACTAGCCTTTCTGCAGAATGTTTTCAATGTAATTCTGGGTGATGTGGAGGATTAAAGGAAACCTGTGCTTGCACTAAAATCCTCCAGTAGTTGCATTAGAGGCAGGGGGACATACCTGTATACTTATGCCAATACTGACTTTCAGAAATCACTATTTGCATAGAGAGATCCCTAGGCTCTGCTAAAACTATGAGGGGGGAACATGAAAGCAAAAGGTATTATATGCCATCATAAAAGAGGTATTAAACTCAAAACCAAAAATGTAATATATTGCAGTTTACCAATACTTAGATGTGGTGACTGCAATAGTTTTCTTTTTTTGTTTTTCTCCTGTTGATCTGGCCAGTAACACACTTTTTGTATTAGAGTGCCCCCTCTTTGGATGAAGAAGCACAGGGGCACCTATGGACATTAGCATTGCCAGTCTGGGGGAGGCGATAGTGAGATGAACTAGTAGACATAGTTACACTAACAAACTGAAGCCAAACTCCAGCTTACACTGCAGTCACACAAGCAGACACATCAACAGATTTTTCCTTTTTTGAGATAAAGGTTTTACATGTACAAATAAATGCTGATTATTGCAAGCACCCCTATCAGTGATAAATGGTTTCTCTCAACACTCTAACTGCTACATTTGAAGAAGAGCTTGTTCTGTTGAAAAACAACATACTTACTGGCCAGATCTTCAGGTGAAAATAATACAGCCATCACATCTAAGATTTGGTAAGCTGCAATATATAAAACGATTGCTTTTGGGTTTAACACTGCCTTAAGGTGCCTGCTAGGCAAGAGGGTGTTAACTGGGAGTGATCATATAATTGGTAACTTTAAACCCCAAATGTTAAAATTAGAGATGAGCGAATTATTCAAAAATTCGGTTTGGCTGATTCGCCGAATTCGCCGAATAAATTCGCTTCGAGCCGAATATATTCGCTGCGAATTTAACTTATAAAAAGGGTGTTTCTAGGCTTCAGAGAGCCTTTATATTAGTGCAGAACACTGTACCTTTAATTTAAATGCCCTTGGAGTCTGCTGGGGAAGAGAAATAATACTGTCAGTCAGTATGACATGCAGATGAGTGCCGTCGATCTTAGAATCACCGCACACTTCACTCATTTGGGCAGTCACGGGGCCAAAACCAGAGTGTGGAGCCACAGTGTGGCGGTGGAGGCAGCAGCAATGGGAGGCCATACAGCACCCTATGACAAAATGGAACCCACCAGCAGTGTGAGGAGACCTGAAAGTGGCACATGGCAGAGTGTGGCGATGGAGACAGCAGCAATGGGAGGCCGTACAGGGACCCATGACACACTCTGGACCTGGCAGCAGCATGAGGAGGCGGTACAGGGGCCCATGACAGATTACGGGCCTGGCAGCAGCATGAGGAGTCGGTACGGGGGCCCATGGCAGATTACGGGCCTGGTAGCAGCAATGGGAGGCCCGTAATCTGCCAGCACCCTATGACAAAATGGAACCCAGCAGTGTGAGGAGACCTGAAAGTGGCACATGGCAGAGTGTGGCGATGGAGACAGCAGCAATGGGAGGACGTACAGGGACCCATGAGACACTCTGGACCTGGCAGCAGCATGAGGAGTCGGTACGGGGGCCCATGGCAGATTACGGGCCTGGCAGCAGCATGAGGAGGAGGCGGTACAGGGGCCCATGGCAGAGTGGCGGACCGTAAGCAGCTAAAATTGAAGGCCATACAGAGGCCTATGTTAAAAAGTCCCCCCCCAGCAGCAGCGTGGGGAGACGACTATCAAGAGTCCAATGGCAGAGTGGCGGAGCAGAAGCAGCTTCAATTGAAGGCCATACACAGGCCTAGGTTTAAAAGTCCCTCACAGTTAATTCCAATAACGAACTCTACTCCTCCGTGCAATCTACTTACGAGACCCTGGGCAGGTCTGGGTCCAATTTGTGGTAGAGACTGGTTTTGTTCAGCCATGCTTGAGCGAGTAATAACAGGTCTGTGCTGCCCTTGTGTCTGGCTTAATGCGCACAACACTGAACGTCCCAGCGTTTGTCAACGATTTGCCGTTAAGTGATGCAAACCCACTGAACCACGTTCATGAGGAGCCGGTACAGGGGGCCATGAATCAGTATGGACCTGGCAGCAGCGTGAGCAGACGACAGAGGCACATGGCGCAGGGTGGCGGTGTAGGCAGCATTATTCTGAAGCCATACACAGGCCTAGGTTAAAAAGCGGAAGCCGTCAGCAGCGTGAGCAGACGACAGAGACACATGGCGCAGGGTGGCGGTGGGTGCAGCAGTATTCGGAAGCCAAACACAGGCCTCGGTTTAAAAAGCGGAAGCCGTCAGCAGCGTGAGCAGATGACAGAGGCACATGGCGCAGGGTGGCGGTGGAGGCAGCAGCAATGGAAGGCCATACAGCACCCTATCACAAAATGGAACCCACCAACAGTGTAAGGAGACCTGAAAGTGGCACATGGCAGAGTCTGGCGATGAAGTCAGCAGCAATGGGGAGGCCGTACAGGGACCCATGACACACTCTGGACCTGGCAGCAGCAAGAGGAGGCGGTACAGGGGCCCATGGCAGAGTGGCGAAGCGTAAGCAGCTTAAATTGAAGGCCATACAGAGGCCTATGTTAAAAAGTCCCCCCAGCAGCAGTGTGGGGAGACGACTATCAAGAGTCCAATGGCAGAGTGGCGGAGCAGAAGCAGCTTCAATTGAAGGCCATACACAGGCCTAGGTTAAAAAGTCCCCCCAGCAGCAGCGTGGGGAGACGACTATCAAGAGTCCAATGGCAGAGTGGCGGAGCGGAAGCAGCTTCAATTGAAGGCCATACACAGGCCTAGGTTAAAAAGTCCCCCCAGCAGCAGTGTGGGGAGACGACTATCAAGAGTCCAATGGCTGAGTGGCGATCCGGGAAGTCAGCGTTGTGATTGCAGATGCAATGCAGAGATTCTATGAGGTGATGCCGTGGGTGCGAAGAAGATCATATACCGTCGTACTTCCATCCATAAGACGGAACAACCTGCGAACCGGGAGCTTTATTGCCCTGACCCGCTGAGCAGCTTCTGGGATACCCAAGAGGCCCATGGCAGAGTGGCGGAGCGTAAGCAGCTTCAATTAAAGGCCATACAGAGGCCTATGTTAAAAAGTCCCCCCAGCAGCAGCGTGGGGGGAGATGACTATCAAGAGTCCAATGGCAGAGTGGCAAAGCGGAAGCAGCTTCAATTGAAGGCCATACACAGGCCTAGGTTAAAAAGTCCCCCCAGCAGCAGTGTGGGGAGACGACTATCAAGAGTCCAATGGCTGAGTGGCGATCCGGGAAGTCAGCGTTGTGATTGCAGATGCAATGCAGAAATTTTATGAGGTAATGCCGTGGGTGCGAAGAAGATCATATACCGTCGTACTTCCATCCATAAGACGGAACAACCTGCGAACCGGGAGCTTTATTGCCCTGACCCGCTGAGCAGCTTCTGGGATACCCAAGAGTTTGGCTTCTGTGGGGAATATGGTTGAAAACTGAAACTTAAAGGCATGTTGATGGGAAGGGCACCAGTGTCAGTGCTCCGGAGGGAATATAGCTTCAAAGCTGACACTTAAAGGTATATCGACGGTCAGAGACCACAGGAAGTGGAGCTTGCGTCTTAAATCGACTGAATGTGGCAGACGTGAAACGTCTACGGGCCGTATATGAAACGGGTTGTTCCTCTTTCTGGAATAAGTGTTGGAAATGGCCACTCTTTTTGGTGTGGCGTTTTGTCTATTTAATTCCAATAACGGACTCTACTCCTCCGTGCAATCTAGTTACGAGACCCTGGGCAGGTCTGGGTCCAATTTGTGGTAGAGACTGGTTTTGTTCAGCCATGCTTGAGCGAGTAATAACAGGTCTGTGCTGCCCTTTGGTGTCTGGCTTAATGCGCACAACACTGAACACTGTGTCCCTGAGTAACGATTCTGTGTCCCTGAGTAACAATTCTGTGTCCCTGAGTAACGATTCTGTGGCCCTAAAGCTCTGTGGCCCTAACTCTGTCCCTTAATACACACAGGTCTGTCTCTCTTGAATGACCGGAGGCTAATGGAGAATTCTAAGATGGCCGCGATTTATAGCTCCACCATTACACAGTGCTGGCTGGCTGCTGATTGGCTAATGCGATCACATGTCATGAATGCATTATGGGTCAGCGCGCCTTGTCTGCGCGCCTTCCCAGAGATCCCCACCCCATCTTCTCTGTCCATTTTCTCCGTCGCCACACATGTCGCCGCCATTTTTGGGAAAATTCGATTCGTGCATCCGAAGTTTGCTAATCTTCGGATTCGTCGCGAATAGAATTTTTCCAAATCTTCGGAACGAATTCCACTTCGTCATGTTCAATTCGCTCATCTCTAGTTAAAATGATTAAACTCTATTTCTATTAGATTAAGCAGTAAGCACATGCATTTACTCTTTATTTACAAAATTTATATTTCTCAACTCAGAGCTCACATTCCAAATTTCATGGCACAACACAGAACCAAAGGTTACCATTTAAAGAATTCACATTTTTTTACTATCAGGTATTTTATTATTAATACAGTTCAATCCCTGGAATGACAATGGCCAAAGCCTGATAGAGGACACAAGATAAGAGAAGAGGACCGATTCAACAGCCCAGCATGAGCATACATTGCTATGAATACTCCTGAATACTGTTTACTTTTTTATTTTTACCAAACTAACAGTTATTGCACTTGTTAAGAACAAGAGCAATGCCATGTGATGCATTATGCAATATAATAAGATATTGTAATAGCTATTCCCTGTTACAAAGTTCAGTAAATTTATGTTGCCAGAAGGCAACAACCAAGATGTCAGTGACTGACGGGAATCTGCTCCCTACTTCCCAGCAGAGAAAAATGACTGACTGTCAAAGATGCAGGACTCCCATTTGAAAATGGGCAAGTCTGTCTAGAAGTAAGTTTATAGTATCTCCAAAAATGTGAAAGAAGTGAAAATGTATCTCTGAGTTCATCCTAAATAGGTGGATCATGCAATCATCTACCTGCAGACTCTATTGGACACAGCACTACGGTGTGGTAGCTATACAGCTGCACACCTTGCCACAATCAGAAGTTCTTAAATGGACCTTAACCCTTTGAGGACCTCAATTTTTTTGTTTTTAAAGTTCGTACACTTCAGTTGCTGTAACTAAGCCATTTCATGAAATAATTGGCAAAAAGCTAGATCCATTTGTTGTTTGTTGATAAGAACTAATATTTTGACTCAAACCAAAAAAAAAAAAAGAGTTTTAAGTTCTTAATCAGATGATACACGCAATTACAAACATGGGACAAATACGTCCCTTGGTCCTCAAAGGATTAAAATATTCAGTTAGTTCCTTATCAAAGGCTATTTCATGCTTGTGGACTACTCTCTACTATTGACCTGGCTCTCAGACTATTACTGCTCTGCCTCTTCCCTGCCCTGACCTCATCTTGTTCCCTGATTATAATTTCCTGCCCCCACCTGACCTCCAACCTGTATGACTATATTCTGTGTAGTACATTTTGTACATTCACAACACATACTGTGTTGTGATTCTGTAATTTGTTTTGGTTCTGTCTGCAAGTTGGCTATTACTCTCCAGTGACACAGAAGATCCACTATACTCTGTGACAGTCCCGGAGCAGCTACACAGGTTACATATAGATAAATAAAAAAACATTGACCTATGAAGTCAGCAATCACCAAGACCAGATGACATACACACATAAGTCATCAGGGATATTGGCTCTGTTATAGCCAAGTTGCTATTTCTAATTTTCAAAGACACCTTACTGACTGGTATGGTAGAAACTGATTTGTGTAGAACAAATGGGTACCAATATTCAAAGAAGGGTCAATATGCACAGTATACAGGGAAACTACAGACCAGTCAGCCTAACATCACTAAGAGGTAATGTAAAGTACCTGAGGAAAAGGTAAGAGATTGTTTTCAAGAATATTTCTGCAATAAAGGTATCATAAGTAATTACCAGCATAGGTTTATAAAATATTGTTCTTGTCAGACCAACCTGTTAACAGTCTATGAGAAAGTGAATACATATTTAACTAGTGGAAGGTCAGTAGACATAGTATTGCTGAATTTTGCTAAATAATTCAGTACTGTACTTCATAAATGCTTATTTTGCAAAATCTATTACTGTTCAAGAAATTGTATGTACATGGATAGGAAACTGGTTACATGAATGGGCCCAGAGACTAATGCTAAATTCATTCTCTAAATGATGTAAGATTGTAAGTGGTGTGCCTCAATACTCCATCTTGGAGCCAATTCTTTTTAAGTTGTTTATTAATCATATTGAGGTTGAAATTAAAGCAGAACTAAACTTTCAAATTCTTTCCTCCATTCCAACAATGCACTGTCTGTAAGGTCCCTTGCCGATGACAGCATCTTTTTCTTGGCTTCCTTGCAGTGCAGTCTTCAGCCATCTTGACTGCAGGCCAGAAAATGATGTTTCACCCTCACATGTGTACAGTAGTTTATCCATTCCAGTGTCAGGGTGTGCTAAGAATATACACAGATATGCACATGCACAGATAAATGTAAATTCTAAAAAAGATTGCAAACAGGCAAGCCGGTTTGTTTTACTTTATGCATGAAAAATCACTGCTCCCTGCCAAACTGAATTTTTAAAATAATGTTTTGGTACATCTCTCCCAGAGCAGTGAATCCCCCCCAACGTCATTTGTTTGACAATCCCTGGCCTATCCTTTGCCTTCTGAGGAAGTGGTAACATGTGAAGGTGTGGAGCTTAATGACATAATCATGCTGACTGGTACTTTTCACTGGCGATCTCTTCAGAAAAGAATAGCTCATATGCTAACATCAGTTGGCTGAGTATTAGACTGTTTTTTTTTATGGATGGATGCTGACACCTTGTATATTATGCTTGCTGATTTACCATCTTGTAAGCGTGTGGCATAGCATTGCAGCAATCAATTAAATTAAAACAATGAGCACTAGTTTGTGCGGTGTTTGCTTTCTTACATATCTGGATTTTCCCAGGGAGTTATGCATTTTGAACCTTTTCCGGCTATTGCAGGCCTTCGCTACTGATTGGGGATGTTGAAGAAGCTAATCCTTTCTCATAGCAAGTGCTGCTAGACTTCTTATAGCTAAAGAGGTCTAATATCAGGGTGAGCATTCTAAAAGGGGATACTTGCTGGTGGCACTGTACAAATTGAAGAAGATCACTTAACCACAATAGCAATATACTGTATGTATTCCAGATGGTTTCATAATCAGCGGATCTGGATATTCCAAACACCATCCTCCAGGCAGAGCCCATCAAACAGTTATTAAACTTTCTGGAATACACATATTGCTATTGTGGTTAAGGATCTGGGAATGTTCTTGCATACACTCTATGGATGGCAGGATTGAACTCCAGACCAGAACTGATTTGAATTCCTGATTATTAAGCTACCTGGAATACAAATATTGCTATTGAGGTCAAGGATCTAGGCATACTGTTGCATCCCCTATATACTATAGATGACAGAATTTTAACTCCAGACCAGAACTGATTTAGATTCTTGCA